ATTTAACAAACAATTGGCAGTTTTTTGGTGAACCCTGATAGCGTTCGTAATAGTCAAGCATTATTCTTATTCTGGTTGTCACACTCACCCACTGACACCACACTTGCTCATGACACATCAGTTCAGCCCATGTTTATGGAGCCCTGCCCCCAAAACCAGGCCTGTTTGCTTACACTAGATGAGTAACTCTTTTCCACAGAATGCCATCTGCTACTATTTTGGCATTTACGAAGCTTCTTCCTGCATCTGAGAGGAATCTTTTAATCCAGCCATTAACATTAGTTTATCCCAAGAAAGATTTGTTTACACAACTTGACAAAGTTTTAAGAACCCAAAAGTCCTATCAGATAAGAAATGGTTATTGATTTAGGCTTGTTGGCCAACTTCACAAACCATGTGACCAGGTCCTGTAGATACCAGTCATTTAGACTGACAGAAAAGATTGACATTAGGATGGACTAATCAGTAGTCTAAAGAAGTTCAAATCTAGAGCCACATTGAGAACAGCATTACTTACCTTCATAGTGTAACTTTCCTAAATATCCTCCACTGTACATGGATCATTTAGGTTTTCCTTATCTTTAGGATCCTTGGGCTGATGAGGCAGTCCCAGACTGGACATAGCTTATAATATTTACAATGGATATTTGGATCACTTTGCCATCCCTTGATTTGCCAAGTTGTGTGGCTTAAGTTTAAAAACTTGATTTAGAGTTTCTGCCTTCACTCACAGCATCTAGTGATGCTGCAACACTGTGATGTTTTTAAAAAGAAATATTTTATAATTTTTATTTATTTTTGAGAGAAAGAGAGAGAGAGAGAGAGACAGAGCTCGAGTAAGGGAGGGACAGAGAGAGGGAGACACAGAATCCGAAGCAGGCTCCAGGATCTGAGCTGACAGCACAGAGCCCGATGCGGGGCTTGAACCCATGAACTGTGAGATCATGACCTGAGCTGAAGTGAGATGCTTAACTGACTGAGCCAGCCAGGCACCCCAACACTGTGATGTCTTAAGTTTGAATGATCTCAGTCCACCCTGGTCACCAAGCCTCTCTCCTGGTCCAGTGTGGACCCCTCCAGCATCCCCTCCACTGTGTGATGATGAGGACATCTGCTGGGCCAGCTCTGCCTGCCATACAGGAGCGGAAGCTGGAATACTACAGAGTCTGCTCTCTACCCTCTATCAGCTCCATCTGAGTGAGCATTAGAGTCGGGGACCACATCCTGGGCAAGTCACTTTCTTGCTGTGGGATGTCAGGCATGCGACTTAAGGAAATTGAGGTTAAGAGAGGTTATCTGCAAAGATGCAGATTGTAGGAACATAGGGTTGTTATAGGATTAGGTGACATTCCAGGGCCTATAGAGCACTTTACATCTGTTACCGACTGATTTATAGATATCACAGGAATCCCACCATTTAATAATGCTTACAATGGCCCAGACCCTTTACTAGGCCCTTCACATGCATTATCTATTTAAATAAATCCTCAAGATAACCTCATGAATCAGGTACTAGCACCAGCCCCTCAGAGACTCTGACTTTATAGTTGTAAAATGCAGAATTGGTACCTTGCCCAAGACTATTTCATTATTTAGTGTCTGAGCTGAGCTAACACAGGGCTATCAAAGTACAAATCTCACATGGTGGATTTGTAGGTGTCATGGAATCTGGCAGAGACAGTTTGGGATGAGGATCTCTTTGGCATTCTTCAAATCATGCACCGTGAACAACCATCACTCTGTGTACAAAGAGGGCACCCCCTACTCTCAGTCTTGAATATTTTCAATTATATTTTCAATCACTAAGGGTATAAGAAATTCTGCTTCTCTTCTCCCTGCAATAACATCCTTCCCCAAACTACTGTCCTTGGGATTTTCGAAAGTCTTGCAAGTATTTCTGGAAAATAAATTTTCCCTTTTAGCCATCCATCCCTTGCGCTCCTGCAGGCCTCTGGTGCTCCCTCAGACACAGGCTGGTAGAAGCAGATCTTCTAATGCAGATGCTGAGTTAGAGAGGCGACTTCTCCCCATCCATCAACTCTAACTGCATTCAAACATGTTAAATATGTGGGCTTCTTGATAACTTCCACTGTATGGAAAACAAAATGGAGGGAAATGATTATTGGCACAAAAGGAGGAAGTCATAAATCTTCAAATCAGATATAGGACAGATTGGAACAATATGAGTTCTCCAAGGTTGCCATGATAATGTACCTAATAACTCTCCTTGGGCAAAAAGGCAATCTGCTTTCAATCAATCTCGCTTTTTCTGAGCAAAAATACCAATTATGTTGAAGGAAGATTTTTTTTTCTTCCTTTTTGATAAAGACTGCTCTCCACCCCAGAAATCATGCTGTAGCTAAAAGATATATATTCTCAATTGTCTAGAATGGTATTGGACAGCTAGCATCAAATGAAAAGAGTCAATCCTTTTTTCTCCCCTCTCCTGCCTGCATTTGTCTACTTCTTAAGAGAAGTGAAAGCTAATTAAAGGCTTAAGGGATAATATTGATTGCACTGGAATATATTTTATATGTACCCAGCACATTTTCAACTGAGAGAACCCTGACTCTTTCTCAGGCTGAATAAATCAGCTGGCGGGGCCTTTGATTCAAGGGTGAGAGGGTGAACTCATCTCCTTCCCTTCTACTTCTCACACATCTGTCCTAGAGATGAATGATTTCAGAAGAGGGAGAGGCAATGCTGGCCAATGTTCATTCAGTCCTTTGCGTACAGGATGGGAAGGATGAATGTTCAGGCATTTCCCCAGACCTATCATTGATTTGAGTCCAGCTTTGAATAATCACCAGGCTTCTACTGGTATAGAACTTTGAGCTTTGCAATCCCTGAGGCAGGAAGTTGGCTGGATGGTATTAGCCTCTCAGCTCTCTCATCTATTGAATGGGGATAAGGAGCTTGCCCAGGATCACACACATCCTTGGGGGCAGAGCAGGGAATCCCATCTGGCTTACTTTCATATCCAGGTGAGAGGAAGGGCCCAACTCATATCCGTTCTGTGGAGGTGCCCATACATTGGATTCATGCTAGTCTTGTTCTCAGTCATGGACGCTTGTGGGCAGAAAGCATTAGAATTGCCCCATGCAGCCCCACACGTCAGATCAGTAGGGTGTTTTATTTATCTCTCTCTGTCTAAACATACTTGGCAAATTCAGAATCAGAAATGTTATTCAAAACATGCAAATTCATTTGTAGCCTGTTTCATCCATATAAATGCACATGTGCCACAAGAAATAGTTTAAGATATGACATGATGAAAGCGTATATAACCCAAGTGTTCTGTTTACATCCTGTATTCTCACACACTGTGTGATTTCAGGAAGGAGTTAGTCATATGGGTTTGGGGCATTTGGATGGGTGGCCAAGGGACCTCCCTGTACCTGGCCGGTACTTACTAGAGAATAAAATGATCATGCTGGAACGTCTCTTCTGAGGCAGCCACTGACAATCTTTCCTCCCCACAATGGCCTCCGCTTGCCCGGCCACTAAGTGCAGCACCGTAACAATAACAGTCCATAATGGTGATATTATTAACTGCATTGTGCATATTATTGATTTACTCTTTGTTCTGCATCATTATCCTTTCACCAATGAGTTTACTGCCTTATTCTCACATACTTAGTCAAGCACCAAATTACAACGAAGAGGGCAGGCTCTTGTAATGACATCTAATGGAACATTGCATAAGTGATCATCACTTCCTCCCATTATGCGCTGCCTCCAGCCAATGAGCTTTCTGCCTTATTGGAATGTGCACAGAGCAATTATGAGGTGCAAGGGACCTAGCCATTCTAAATTTTTTCCCACGAAATTACTATGCTTCGATGTTCACCACCTGCCCCGTGCCTCAGAGCCCAGCCAGGGCTTCAGCCTCTGTCTCTAGCAGCCTGAGAGCCACAGGGACCAGGATTGAGCCCCTTGCTACAGTCTCCTTATTAGGAACCGGCAGGTTTCATCTCCACAGTCAGGCCCCTGCTTTGGGCCATGGGGCTAACCCTTGTACCGAAGTGCTTATTCCTGATTGAGCATCAGATAGCAAATGTAATATGGCCATAGTCCAGCCAGATTGGTTCAGATTCATCAGATTGGTCCGGGGGTCCAAAGATATTGGGGGGAACTGTTGTCCCAGCAGTTCTGGAAAAGAGGCTCATCTCCCTGAGGGGGAGTCACCATCTCCAGAAACAGAACCTCCCTAGATCAAGGCAAACAATTCCAGCCTCATCCCTTTCTAGCTTCTCCCCATCTTGAAGTAAATTCCTCTGGCTCTCATGGAAATCCCAGGCACCCTGAGGAAGCAGCCAACTGGGGATGCACAGCCTGCCACACGATCCCTGATTCCATAGGCGTCCCATCCCCATTTAGTCCTGAGTAATGCTCACTTACTGTAAAGTGTTACATGCCCCCATTGTCAGAGGAGTTATGGCGGAAAAATGCAAAATTTCCTTTTTACTGCTTATGGCCAGCAGAGCCCATAACGTGTCAAGCCGCACATTAGCCACCCTGATAAAAGTCCGCTTTCTTACACACAAAATCATCGTTTCAGCAAGATTTGTTATCTCATTACCTGATAAGCTCTATGTCATAAACCAAGACCCATTCGGTAAATCTCTCAGGAGGACGCTTTGTGGGCAGAAAGGGAAAGATCTGAATCTGCAAGGGACTTGATAATGCAGCATTTAAGCGCACGCATAATGTCACTTATTGTTAAAGGCATAAAACCACTTGGCCAAACGGTTGGGCTTTTAATAGGATTTTGTGCAGCATCAGGTAAGAAGCCATATGCCTCGTCCGTTGAGGAGTCTGAACACCTGCCAGCACCGCTGCTTTGCCTCACAGCCCTCTGGGGATGGGAGCTGGGCTTTAATTGAGGCCTCGGGAGGAGATGAATGCTTCCCTGCAGCTGTGCGCTTCCTCTGTCTTGCCTGGGGTGGGTGCCAGGTCGTCGCTGGGCTGGCCCCATCTAACTGGCTTCTCCTGTTCAGGCACATTGTGGTCTGTGGACACATCACTCTGGAGAGTGTTTCCAACTTCCTGAAGGACTTCCTACACAAGGACCGAGAAGATGTCAACGTGGAGATCGTCTTTCTTCACAAGTAAGGGACCCCTGCTGTTTCAAGACCCTCCACTCAACCAGACATCCCGAGGAGGGCTCACCGAGTATCTGTAGGAGTGATGATATGGGGGCAGTGTTGGGGGTAGAGCAGAGTTGAATCAGCCATGATCCCTGGTGGCCTCATTGGAGAGGACAGTATGGAACCAATGGAAAGGGAACATTAGTTCAGTGGTGAGAACACCACCTGCCTCTCTAGAGCCAATTCTGACAAATAACAGTGAAGTTCATTATGGGTCAAACACGTCATTACTGTCCCATCAGCTGTCAGGGTCTATTCGATCCAGGTATGTCCACAGTGTCTGGTGTGGAATGATTAGTTGCCTGGTGTGGATTCTTTACAAGCGCAGGAGTGACATAGTGGCCAGGAATGACACAGACATAAGAGGAAGCAGGGTATAATGTAATAGAAACAGTTGCAACAATTGGCATTTCTAGAAACCTTCAGTGTAGGACACTGTGCTGGTCCCCATGTATATGGTCTCTCCCTTCATCAACAGAGGGAATAAAGGTACATGCTGTGAACTCAGAGTACTCTATATGAATCTTGACTTAACCAGTTACTTGCTGAATAACTTACTTAACCTCTCTGGGCCTCAGTTTTTTACATTCAGTAGATAAGGCAATCACAATGGTTTCAGTCTCCTTTCTTGGGCTTGTAGAGAGAATGAAAAGTAATCTATGTCAAGAATGAATCAGGCACACAGTAAGCACTCAGTAAATGTTAGCGAGTATTATGAAACATAAAATGTATTGGCTAGATAAGCAATGTAGAAGGTAGGTCTTATCTTGCTTGTTGTGCAGTTGAGGAAAGCAAGAGATCTCCCTCTGCTCAATGTTGTTGGGATTTTAAGATTCGTCTGATCCCCATTTAGGTAAAAGGTAGTCAGCCACAGAGATAGAGAGTTCTGAGACTCAGACATGTTGATGTGAGTGACACAGTCTTCTTTTTTGATGGAAATGGGGCCATCATAGGGCCAGAGCTAGCCCTGGTTTACCAAGAGACAAAGCTTGTGTGTTGGTGCTGGCTCCGTAGGAGGTTGACAGCCCACGACTCAATCCCCTGCTCTGAGATCCCACAGAATTCGACTTCCCTAAAGGCTTCCATTCTATGCATCTCATTCCTTTTGACAGTTGCTCACAAAATACCAAGCTGGTCACCATATTTGAGCACACCAGCGTTTATTGTTGTTGTTGCTGTTGTTGTTGTTGTTGTTCTCAGCACTGAATTCTCCAAGTTCTGAAAAGACTGGTCAGGCTATGAACACAGATCAATTCAGTGCTTCAGCTTCTCATTCCCAGCTGAGGGGCCAATCCTCTGCTGAGCATTATGGAAGGTTCAAGAGAAGTATAGTGTGTAGGTCCTGCCCTCATATTGGTCAGGCATTTCAAGACAAGCATGTGTGCAACAGAGCTCAACCTCCATGCTATATTCACCGACTGAGGTCAGTTTAATCAAATGACAGAATTGCATGGGGAATTCACATCAGGGAGAGACCACCACTTCTTACATGAGCAGGCAGACTTCCTGAGAGGGTCTAGACTAGTAATGGACCTCGAAGATTGGTGGGATTTGCACAGATACCTGTTTCTCTCTCACCCACTACTTGAGTCTGACTCAACAAGCTGGCTGCTAATGCTTCATTTGCTGAGATTCACCTCCATGTACCCAGCATCTGTCAGTGTCAGCATTGTCGTAGGCCCAGTTAATTAACCTTTGGAGCTTTGGGTTAATAACATCCCTTCCTCTAGGATTGTTTTGAGGTTTAAATGAGTTAATACTTGTCAAGTGCTTAGAATGGTATCTGCCCCATAGTAAACGCTCAAAAACATGAACAGTTCTTACTAAGCACTTAATGAATGTTAGGCAAGCATTGACTTAACACAGTTCTTGGCACCTAGTTGGTTCAAATGATATATCATCTCCCAGTGCCTAGCCTAGTACCTCGTAGAGAACAGATATTTTTCCTCTTTGCAGAAGTAATAAGTGAATGAATAGGTCAGTCAGTGCTTTAATCCTTGTCCTCCAATAGGAAAGGTGTTGTACGGCTCAGCACTAAGAACGACAAATAACGTACACATGTGTGAAAGATGCCAAGAGTAAATTAACTCTGTCTATGGCTGCTCAGAGGTGACATGTTTTGATCTGGGCCCTAGAGCATGAGATGTCCGTGGGGCTGAGAAGCAAGGAAGAGGCTGTGAGGGGGAACTGCAGGAGACTCTGCTAGGGAGCCTTCGACTAATTTCTGATGTCACAGCTCAGTCTCTCTCCTCATACTATAGGGATTCCATTCATAACAAAGTCGAAGACATTTTGCCCCCTAGGCTTAGACTTTGTAAAGACCGTGAGCTTCTTTATTTTACCTTGGTACCAGTTTGAGTTTTCAGTGGGCTGGGGTTTTACTTCTGCTGAATGTGAAACTTTTATATCTGGCAAGAAAGGGGGCTGCTTTGAAAGTGAAAGCCTTTTCCTAGGTCTTTCTTTTAGGAAGTCAGAGAGAAAGGAGGCCGTGGAGGCAGAAATACCTGAGTCTATTATATTAATGGCTGTTTCTTCTCTCCCTGCCAGCATTTCCCCTAACCTGGAGTTAGAAGCTCTGTTCAAACGACATTTTACTCAGGTGGAATTTTATCAGGGTTCAGTCCTCAATCCACATGATCTTGCAAGAGTCAAGGTAAGAAGGAAGAGGTGACTTCTGCATTTACTCCATCAGAGAGGGGGACTGGCTCTGTGGTGAGGGCATAAGCCTCCCAGGATGGCCAAGAGTCACCCCCATACCCCTAATGACATAGTCGATATGCCACCAGCCTTGACATCATCCTTCCCCTGGCCCCAGGACTTTGTTCTCTGACACCTGCAGACCACTTATAAGCCTTCCTTCACTTAAACTAGTCATAAAATTGTTCCCTCAATATCCACACTCCTCAAGGGAGCCAACTAGTTGTATAGACTCAGCAGACTCATATACAATATCATTGTCAGGTAATTCCCATCTTAAATATTGAAAGTAAATTCAATGTAGCTCTGAAATCTATTATTCACATTGGAGAAGAACATGAAGGATAAAGTATAAATAAAATTTGACCAGGCCATAAAACATTTTGAGCTTCCTTTTTTTTTCTTTTCTTTTTTTTTTTTTTTTGGCCCTCACCAAAGACTAAAAGTGTAAAACTCAACATGCAGATATCTGATATCGCTTAGTAATGGGCTAATCTTTCATTCCCAAATCTGCTAAGTTACAATCTTCTTATGAAGCAGACCTGAGGTTTACAAAGGAAAGGGATATAGCAAATTGGCATCTGGTACTTTGCTTATTTTATATTGGTTTGGTGAGCACGTTCGATACTTGCATGGCAGTGGGTATAGATTAATACTGTGGATCCACTGACATCCAAATGCTAACTGTGGTCCCAACATAATTTAGTAAATCATGTAATTGGCAAACATGAATAAGCCAGAAAGATTTGGGTAAATTATGTGGGTTATGGAAGAAACCTAGAGACAATTTGTGACATACCACGGAGGAAACCATGCCCCCCTTCCCCCCCCAAATGCAGGGATGGTCTGTTAAGTACAACAAACCAAGGAGGACAGATTGCAGACCTGAGCCAGCACAAGAATTCTTATGCTTATAGAGTCCAGTTAATCTTAATATTATCCAGACATGATCCAAGTTATGACTTAATGTGAAATCTAATGAGAACTTGGAGAAAATAGTTACTGTTCAAGGACCTAATTTAGATGCGAGCAATTATTAGCATAACTCATCATTCCCTCAAAGGAATCAGTCTTTTTTTTTTGGCTCATGTTTAGATAAGTTGGTAGGTTTCGAGGTCATCTGGAACACATCATTTCATACACATAGATGTGTTGTCTTTTGAGTATCTGAATGCTAATTCAATACTAAACAATACTGAGCTGTTATCTGATTTAGGGCTCCTATTGCCTTCTATGCCACAGTTAAGATGTGAAGAAAGATCAGATAAAGGACTTTGGAGTCTCATTTCTGAATACCCGACTACTCGGTTAACTCAGTAATCTGAGAGGAGGGCTTTAGTCCACCTAATGCCATTTCCCGACTGGAAAAATTAGGATGATGGTATAGATCTGTTGGTTGGGAAAGGAGGCAGGGAGGGGACTGAAAGTCTAATTGTTATGTGAAGAAATCTGGAAAGATTATACCTAAGTAACTATGCAAAATGAAAAATATAATTACCAAGGTACATGTTGTACCCTCTAACGGCACCAAGATGAAATGTTTATACCATAATAAGAACTTGCAACCTATACTTTTGACAAAAAACAATAATCTCCCAGAATTATTTTTGTTCTTTCCTTGGAAACTACCAGGTTCCCCAAAAGCTGTCAACAGAGAAAGACTGCAACCAAGCATGGCTATTTATATGTTTGTGTTCTGTGATTTTCCTTTTGGTGTCTTAGATAGAGTCAGCAGATGCGTGCCTAATCCTTGCCAATAAATACTGCGCTGACCCTGATGCTGAAGACGCCTCCAACATCATGAGGTAACATCCGGGAGGCCAGGGAAGGCTCCGGGCTTGGCTTCTGGAGCCCATTGGTTGCACTTTGGGGCTCTCTGCAGAGCACCATCTCTATGGTCTTTCCCCCATTGGCTTCCCTACACCTTGCCACAAGCATAGATGTGGGAGGGGCTGAAGCACTCATGGCTATGGAGGGCGATGACACAAGGCATGCTCAACAGGAAGCTTATTCTTGGCAAATGGGAGCCCTGGGTCTCACAACTGGTCTTGGGATTGAGATATTTCAGACAGGACTAGGAAACGAAAGATAGGCTTAGACGGGTGCAGGCCTGAAGCATGTTCCCTAAGGGAGAGTGCACCTGGGATGTCTTAACTGTGGGTGATTTGTCCCTCAGAGGAAATTTAGAAGTATCTGGAGGATGTTCTTGGTTGTCATAACTAGGGGATGCTGCTCATATCAAGGGGGTGGGTAGAGGCCAGGGATGCTGTTCAACATCCTACAATGCACAAGACAGTTCCCCACAGCAGAGAAGTACCTGACCCAAAATGTCAATAGTGCCAATCTTGAGAAGCTCCATGTTAGACCTTTTCAACTGTGTTTGTAGCATGTTGATTAATAGCCCTATAAAGAGGAGTTTGTTGACTGATGAGCTGTTGTTTCAGCCAGTTTTCCAAAATGAAATAGTGTCTTTACTGAAAGCCTTCTCAGTGCTTTTAATACTAATATGAATTTCTAAAAGAATGTTCTACAGAGAGCATAACAAACCTCTTTGACTCCAACGCTCCCTTTCTTACAGAACACCTTTGGGTGGGTGCAGGCACACTCTGGAGAACACAGCCTAGTGCCCTCTCTGTGAATGGGCAAAGCCCATTGAAGGCCATTCTCTGCCGACTCCCCCCTCCTTATTTTTTTTTTTTTGTGCATTTCAGAAGAACACTGTTTTGTGACGACAAAATGAGGAACACATTAAGATATTTGACTCCAAAGAGTTAAAGGCCCTAAGGACTCTTCTCCCCTCCAGCGTGCATTGCAGAGTAGTTGAGAGCTGGGAGGGAATGATAAGGAGACACTTTTGGAGAAGCGATGAATTAAGAGAAGACATCTCACTCCCACTACATTCCCAAGAACTCTTGCCTAATTGTGAGCAGCCATCCTTTGGTCCGGACAGACCGCCCTCTCCCCAGAGCCTGGTTTGCTGCCATGTCCTGGGATTTACCTGGGGTGAGGGCTTAGGGAACTGCTTCCTCACAATGCTCCCATCGCCCTTCCTTCGCTTCTAATCAGTGGCCCCCAAGTGACATGAGCTCTCCCATCACTGAATTGGGGGAGCTCCTCTGGTGCATTTGGGATGAGTGTGTCTTTCCCTCAGCATCTGGATCTTGTGACTGGGAAGTGACATTTGGCACAGGGTTCTCTTTTCTCCCGCTTCTCTTTGGCAATATGCTCAGTGCAGTTGCTTTAAGGAAGTTGATGCATGAACTCTTGTAAGCACGGGACTTGCCAGCCTGCGGGGAGATGATGGAATGGGGACATGTGTCCACACCTCAGTCCACCCACTAGTCACAGCTGGAAAGTGACTACAACAGCTCAGCAGAGAGTGCTTCAGTGACCCTTTCCTTGAACTAGGATTTCCATCCTTTCCATTTTTGTGTCATTTGAAATGATAAAAATGTCACCTTGAAGAAACTGGGCTTCATTATCTTCAGATTTGCAAACATAAAAAACAAAAGAAGATAAAGTTTAATGTTTTGATCCCCTCCCCTCCCCAAAGAAGTTTAGGGCTATTGCTTTTTTTTTTTTTTTTTCCCAAAAGTGAAGAATTGAAATGAATAATAGCTTTGAAGTGGACATTTCTCTTAATCACAGTATTTTATTTAAGTGCAATAGGGCTAATATGAAGACGTGTAAGTTATCAGGGTGATTGGAATGATGCCAAGGCATAAAAATTACAGAACAAAGGTAGCATCAGAAGTTTAATGGTGCCGTTCATTAACCAGACTCAGAACTAAGGCCCAGGCAGCAAAAGGAAACAGGAAGCTCAGGGTTAAAAATGGGCTCTGTCTTTCCCTTATTTGTATAATTCTCCTTTCTCCTTAGTTTAATGAGACCAGTCTGCCCCTTTTGAAATTAAAATGTCAAAGATCCATTTGAAATGAGCTAATGCAGAAAAACTGGCTGATGCTACGAACCGAAATTTGAGGGCTGACCGAGGCTCCAAGTCCTTGAGTTATTAAGCATGAACCAACACAACACTTCTTCAAAAATAAAATGAATTCCTTCAAGTGCAAAAGCCCAGGGTGAATCTGTGCAGGCAGAAGCTTATGGGTGATCCATTTCCTAAATTCACAAGTTGTAGCTTTTCAGATGAAACTACTCCCTGGCTGCCTTCTCTCCATTTTTGCACAAAAGAAGGGATGAAGCACAGAGTAATTTCTCGGTGTGCGAAGTTTGTGGGGGTGGTCACAATAAAGGCACTTGCATTTCTGATTGGGCTTAGGAGGTGGGCCTTTCTGTGGAATTCCATTCTTTAGCCTTACTTGTCACAGAAGGAAATGTACAATGTCACCTCTGACAGAGTCGGTAATGACAGAAACCATAACTTACATGTGGAGAGAGCTTTTAATGATTTCAAAGCATTTCCACATCTGGTCTTTCATTTGGTGCTCATACCAGAGCCTGTGAAATAAATAAAACAGGTACTGTTGCCCCCGATGTCCAGATGAGGAAACAGTCACAAAGAGCCCAGGGATTTCCTGAAGGTCACCCGGTTCCTCAGTACAAGACTGGGGCTGGAATCCAGGTGTTTCTTTTCCTCCACCTGTAGCCCAATGACCGTGTCAGGGAGCAGGAGTGAGGGTTGTGGGAGGGGGTGGGCAATGGTTCATAGGGAGCATGGACTGAGAGCAGTTTGAGGGGGGAATTTTCTTTCAGACTGTGACCTCTGCAAGGCCTCGGGACTTATCGCCAACCGGCATTTAAGTTGTCATTTAGACACTATTATCCATCGAAGGCTGAGTCATTGATCCTGTCTTAAGAGCCCGACCCAGAAATCATTTTTGTGAGGGGCCATGTGTGTGTGACAATAAGTATCATTTGTCAGGCTGTTTGTTTGCTTTATCATTGTTGTCTCAAGTTGTTAACATGGAGAATTGGACTCAGAGCAAATGGTTCCTAGGCTTGTCCCTAGGGTATGTGAGATCGTAAGCTGTTGGCCCCATGGGTTGGCCCCATGAGTTGAGCTTCCTTTATTTAGATGCCTATAGGGCAGTTAGCCCATGACCCCTGCTCCAGAGCCCTCACCCCAGTACACACGTACTCACATGCCAACACCAAGGCATCACAGGACTGCTCTCTTCTTTTATGCCACAGTGTGTGGTCATTTTGTGATTTCATTTTCACACTGCCATGGGGTATAGCAATGGACACACAGTTTAACTTGGCCCTGTGCCAGTGAGCTCTCTGGATGGGCCTGGCTGCTGTCCCCACATTCACTCCATTTGGGTGTAATCAAATTAACCCATCAGACTCCAAGGGTTAGGCAGATCCTGCCTCAGCTCTGGTTCTCTTTTTTTTTCAGAGTAATCTCCATAAAGAACTACCACCCGAAGATAAGAATCATCACTCAGATGCTGCAGTATCACAACAAGGTAGGTCACAAGAGCCCGTTGTCCAGCTGCACAGGCACACACATGCACACACATGTGCACACATATGCACACACATGCTGCTGCAATCCAAAGGTCTGGGAAAGGAGGTGGTGGGTAAAAACCTCCCTGGGGGGCCTTTTTGCAGTGAAAACACCTTGTTTACAGTAAGTCACTGAAAGGAAGCATGTATCCCCTCACATTTCCAATAGGAAGCATCTATTGGGCCCCGAGACTCAGGACATTGATGCAGTCTTAGATCCCATTTCAACAACATCCGCTTTCATGTGCTGCACTCATTTCTTCAGTCAGTATTTACTACCTACTATGTGGTCAACATGCTACCTTGACCTCCCTAATCCCCCATGAGGAGTCCTATGTTATACCCTCAGGGAATTCACAGTCTAGGTGTAGAAAGTGTCCTGGGCAAGTGATAGGACTTTGCTACCTGATGCCATGTGACCTGGAAGAACAGATCACATGCTGGGTGGAGGATGTGGAATACAGCATTCTCAACTTCAAGATGAGAACTGGCATGGTTGAATTCAGGAACATAGCTGCTCACCAGAGATTAGACATATAGGAATTTCCCTAGTTTACAGAGAGACTGGAAAGAAAACAAACATTGGAGTCTTTATTGTTTCCCTTGTGATTTCTTCCCAGTCTCTCATTCAAAGGCACTGCTCCTTCACTCAGCTTGTCATTAAATTCCCAGGAAAACAGCTTTGGGGGAGGGGAGGTGGCACCTTTTCCTGTTTGATATGGAACAGGTTATTCCCGTAATGAGGCTCAGAAACTGGAGGCTCAGTACCTGGAACCAGGTGTCCTGTCTGAACTGAATAACTCCCTGCTGGGTTATGAGTGAGCGTGTGTCCCATCTTATAGGCCATATTCCCTATGAAATAGGCAGTCAGGTGACCCAGAGAAGACCCTATTGTGCCAAATGCACCAGTGCCATGCCATTATTTCTTAATTGCTGGCATGTGCTGCCCCATTTTGCTGTGTGGAGGCTCATCAGAGGCCATTGCTGAGTGGAGCCTGCTGCCAATGACCAGCCTACCACTTGGGTCTGCTGCCCACTGCCCAACCCTCGGCAGGTGGTTCCACTGTAGAACGTGTTGTGTTCCAGCCAGTGGGCTCGGTGGTGAGCACCCAAGGTCACAATGTCCTGTTTGTCTCTGAAAAACCCAAGGACATTGAAGAGATAAAGTGAAGATATTGGTAACTCACAGCATTAGTCTGGAGAAGTTTTTTTGACAGCAGCCCCTGTAGGTAGAAGTAAATTTTATTAGCTAGGCTGTGGCTGGTGACAGCTCCTAAGGCAATAAACTCTTCTTTCATTTATGATATGAAATTTCATTTAGTGTGGGAGTGCTCTAAGCTGTTGTTTAGATTTTTGGCTGAATTTAGATTGAATAGGAAAATTAATGTTGTATGTTTAGAAAGGGATGTCAGTTCCTTTTTTTTTCTCCTTCCAATGAGTGCTGATGCAGCATCTTCAAGAAATTAAGGTGGATTTCAGCGATGTGATTCATGTCAAGTTCAAAGTAGCTCAACTGACCTAGGATCCAGATGGTACCTGGACGGTACTCACGTGACCATAGCAAGCCAAATGACTTTTACAAACCTCTTCAATGTAATTATTCAGAAACAGTGATGAAGGGCATCAACTGACCCATGATTATTTGCTTAAAACACATTTTGGGGGCACCTGGGTGTCTCAGTCGATTAAGCATCTGATTCTTGATTTTGGCTCAGGGTCGTAGGATTGAGCCCAGATTCTCTCTCCCTCTTCTTATTCCCCTCTCCCCATTCTGAATGAATGAATGAATGAATGAATGAATGAATAAATCCCCACACACATTTTGTTTAGAATCACCCCAATCGATTTGGGATTCAGAGTCAGGCAAAATCACATATGAGACTTTGCCCCTATAAGATTAGTAAGGATACAAGGGATAGAGTGACCTTGACATAGGGCTTTTTTCTCTCTCATTTCATTTCTCTCTTCTAGAGAGAGCAACATGTCCACTGGTGATTGTCATGTTGTTCTTCATGGAATTGCAAGTGGACATTTGCCACCCTGCTTTATATCCCATGAGATTCTCCCCCCTAACCTTTAAGATTTTTCTTCCTATTACCTGACAATAGTATTTTTCTTCCTCTCTCTGTACTTTCTCTTCACCCATGACTAAATGTCCAGCGATCTCCACCCATTAAAACTCACTCTCTTGAAAGAACCTGGTATGTGTATGTAAACTTATGTTATAGTCAACACATTTCAAGTGATAATTAATTCAGTAATTGGATACTAGATTTAAAATATAAGGAATTCAATTCCTGTGCCCTACCGATGCTGGTATTCTAGGGCCTAGCAGGATGTAGGGAAGTTGCCTACGTTCTTTCTCCATGTAAAACTGGTCCTGAGTTTGTCATCATAGTAACCTCAAATGCTGGTGTCCTATTTTACGGTTTTAAAAGAGCTTGACAACCATTATTGCATTTAGTTCTCATTTGACCATCTGTGCGTGTTAGCATCCCAGTGTGACCTCAGATGGGGAGTCTGAGCTCTATCTCAGACAAAGAAGCTCTGGTGGATACAACTCATGGTCACTTGGCAGGCAGTGAGCTAAGAGCAGAACTGCCAACTGCCACCTTCTCTTCAAATAGAGCCACACCCCAGTGAACCAAACTGTGGTTCCTCACAGTAGGCCTTAATGAAGGACCGATGTTCTCTAAAGTGGATCTGAATTCATGGAGGGAAACACTTGGCCTAGCCATATCTGAACACAGAAAGAAGATGATATAGGACATTTTTGAGAGTGTAAATGTCTTGAAGCTTTTCAAAGAAAGAACAGTTTGTGATATCTTAGAAAACTTTCACTTCTTATGACTTAGCTATTAATGGATTTTTTATTTTTCCAGCAGATTCTAGAAAAAGAGGTCTTTGTCTGGGACCTGGAAGCTAAGTCCCAATGGCCCATTGGAGATGCAAGTTCTTTGAGCTGTCTCACTAACAACCCTTACGCCCTTGGGTAGTAGTGTTAAAGTGTTTTCTCTGAAATGACCTTCTTGGTTCCTTATGGTGGCTTCCCCAAACTTGTATGTGCCGGTAGAGCTGGAAAGAGGACTGGAATGGTTCTCTCCTGGCTTCCCATTATTATATGTCCTCACATTTTCATGTTCCTTCTTCTTGAGCTGAGAAATGATTCAGTGGCTGATCAGAGGGAGGCCCTGGTCCTGCTAGGCCAGCTCTATCAGGCCTGATTCTCCAGATCACAGAGGATTTGCCAGTAGACTTCTGGCCAATAATGCTGGCATTTTCCACCAGACTTGAATGTCCCTCATATGAAGGACAGAGTTGCCAGGGGAACTCTGGGGAAATTTCCTCTCTTCATTTCATGTACACACACATCTGTCCCAGCCTTTGGTATATCCCTCCATGCTCCCTGCTCCACAATTGGGGAAGATATGGTGGCCAATAAAAGGAGGCCATATGGAAACCTGAGAAATGAAACCAACTTGACTTTCCTGTGTAATAACATGTAAAATCTATCTAAGGAATGCAAACCAGATGGGGACATGGGGGGCCCAAGGCCCAAAAGCCTAAACTTCATACCTGCAGAAACTTGGCACATGGGGATATGAGAGACTCTGTGGAAAAGGTTTGTTTGTCTCTTTGTTTGTTTGTTTGAAGGTGCCATGAAGGTTATGTGTCCTTCAAAGCTCCTTTCACACTCGATGATTTACTTGTTCATTATTTAGATTTCATTTCTCCACATCCTCCTCAGATGATGTGAATGCAAATGAGAATTTCTCCACTGAGACTGATGTGTTCTCTCTGTGTCTGTATTCTCTATGGCCTTTGGAAGCCAGTGAAGAGCAGGGAGAAAAATAGGGTAAAGGGCAAGGCTACTCACTGGAATCAAGCCTATGAGAGAATGTCTCTGATACTCAGCTTGACAGAAATTACCATCCACTATGGCCCACACACCAGACTTTTTAAACCATGCTCTCATGAGGGAGGATACAGTCCTCTCTTCCAGGAGTCACTTCTGGCTTAGGACTTGTGAGACAGTCACAGGACTTTGCTAGAAGGAATTTCACAAGAGTGGTCTTTCTGAAAGCAGAGCAAAGAGCCATTGGACTTGCTCTTTGTTTCCACAATGGTGTCTTTCATCTCCTCTAGTAGTACAACTATAGTGTGTTGTCCTGACAGTGAAGGGAAATCTTCGGGGTACTCTGTATTTGCTACTCCATGGAGAGAAATAGTCATTTCAGGGCCACAAAGTCTTGGCATCAGCAGGTACCTAGCAGGGTTCTGTGCTTCAACCTCCCATCCAAAACAAGATGTCTTTCCATTGTGACTTGGAAAAACACTTACTGAGTTTTGGGGACAAAGACCTTACATTTTTGGAGGTAGCTTTCTCCATTTATTAGACATATTACATCCTTAGAAAGTTCCTTTATAAAACAAGCCAAAAATCTTCTTTCTTATAATATACACCAGTCAGTCCTAATTCTGGCCCCTGGAGGAAGCAAGACAAGCCTAATCCCTCTTTGGCATGGCAACACCTGTGGTATTCGGAGGCAACCATCTCGTCTCTGTGAAGGCATGGCCCTTCCTCAGGCCAAACACTGCTGGCTGTCTTAACTGTTCCTCCAAAAGTGTTTTCCAGAACCCCCACCTCTCCTTGTGCTTGTCATTTTTCTCTGGAAGTTATTCAGTTTATCCATTTCCCACCTTAAATCTGACGGTTACAACTGGATCAAGTACTCTGGAATAGCCTGACCAGTTCACAACAGAATGAAACATTCATTTCCCTTGATCTGGAGACCATTTCTAACAAGCAATCATTGGCCTTCTCTGTAATCTGTCACATGGTTGGCCTCTTTTTTGGTTTTTGTGTTTTTTCTTCTTTCCCCTCAACTCTGCTGCCAAGTTAGGTCTTCTCATTTTGAATTTATACAGTCTTTTTTTTTTTTTTTTTTTTTTTTTAATGTTTTTTTTTTTTTTAAAGACCTTTAAAATCTTTTCTGGTTGGTTTTCTGCCCATTTTTCCAACCCTGGAGAACTTTTTGAATCTTGATTCTTTCAACCAACATATCATCTCTGACTCTGTACTTCGTGCCACTTAAAACTAATTGGATGAGCGTGCACCCGGGTCCTTATCTCAGGGTGTGACCTAACTGTTGAGTAGGATCAGTCCATCTGCAAGAGATTGTGATATGTCTACACTGTGAGTTGCCTGATGATTTAGGTCAGTGCTTCTCCAAGTGTGGTCCCCAGATCAGCAGCTCAGTGGCACCTCTAACTTATTAGACATGCAAATTCTCCACCCTCACCCTGTACCTTACTGGCTCAGAAACTCTGGAGGAGGGGCCACCAATATGTGTCTCAACCCTCTGGGTGATTCCGATGCCCACTCACACTTGGGAGCCATTGATCTGGAGTATTGGGACTGCAGACAAAAAAAGAATCTAAAATGCACAGGCATCTGACAGTCTGAGTCTATCTGAGAAGCCAATTTACGAACAATCTAGCCAGACATCTTAGTAGCATGGGCTGATGTGTCTGTCACAAGAGGAAATTCCCTCTGGACTCTGTTTGGCTACGTGACAAACCCGAGGGGGAGACCTGGGTTTGGGAGGTGCAGAAGCAGTGATCTGAAGAGAATACTGAAGACTGAAGTCTCCCGAATGGGAGAGTCAAATAAAACACCAAACACCAGACTCAGGCAAGGGAAAGAAAGGATGAATCTGAATGCCTTCTGAGCAGTTGGGCCATGCTGCATTTCCCAGAGGAGCTTTTCAACAATTGAATGTTTAGGAATGAAAGGTCTCATACCTTGCTTTTGCTTACACAGGCCCATCTGCTAAACATCCCAAGCTGGAACTGGAAAGAGGGGGATGATGCAATCTGCCTCGCAGAGCTGAAGCTGGGGTTCATAGCCCAGAGCTGCCTGGCTCAAGGCCTCTCCACCATGCTCGCCAACCTCTTCTCCATGAGGTCATTCATAAAGGTAACGTCTTGTCCTATTAGAGCACATTAGCCCCAGATTCAGTTTGTCGTGGGGTTGAGTAGAGAGCACAGCTTAAACTCAAAACAGATCGACTGGCTTTAACCACTTTGGTTAAAGAGAAATTCCTTGTTACAGAATTGGGCACAAGGCCAACTTCTTTCAAAATTATGTTTTTATTTTTATTTGGCACATCCATGGCCATTAAATGATTGTTCAAAGCACAATCCTCTCTTTTTTTTAGATAAACCACATGTTTATCTATCAACAAAGCCTCCGCTGTTAAAACAAAAATATGATTTATATACATTCCATATGGCACCAGAGCGCCTAAAGAAAAGAATTATCATTTTGCTCTTTTACATCAAGTGGCTGGTGGACCTCTCACTGTGCGGATAAATGCAGACCATGTGTTTGTGCTGAAGCCCAAACCTCAACAACATAATTCATTTATTTATTTCTGCACAATCAAGGAGGCCAGCAGGGCTGACATGCCATGGTTATTTGAATGGAGAGTGAATCTATGAATTGAACCCTCAGCGGCGGTGCCCTGTACCCCATGACATGAGCGGTCTGGGTATGCTCCTTGTCAGCTGGCTCACCCCACAGAGCTGACTGGGCAGCCACCTCAGAGCCTCCAAAGTGGACCTCGCATGTTGGACCAGCACGAGCAATGGAAGACCCAACTCTGTCCTCATAGGCCAGGCCAGGAAGACCCAACTCTGTCCTCATAGGCCAGGCCAGGCCAGTTTCTAGGACATTGCGTTGGGGGCCCAGGCCCCTACTAAGTGAGTTTAGGGAATGTGGGATAATGATAACCAGTTCTTATCCTTGGATTGTTCCTGGCCTAGACTGTCAAAGAGGCCGACCAGTGTGGTAAAATCTGCCTAGCTTGGGCCTTTCTGACATGGCATTGGTGGCTAGTAGCTCAGCATCTGGGCTTACCTTTGTAGTGACTGGGGTGGGAAATTAATGAGTTACCAGGAGATCTGACAAAGAAGGCTAGAAGCTGTGCAGTCAAAGGTGTGAGACCTCCGGCCCTTTGCCGCCATTACTGCTGTTCTTGGCACCAGTGGTTAGTCATGCGAGGCAGCTGAGGGAAAGGCCCTGGATGCAGTGAGAGAGATGAGTGGGAAGGGTGGGGCTGGAAGTGACGGACCAACTCAACGTGCATGCTCACCCTGGGCATCCACAGCTATGTGATTAGAGCAAGGCTTTTTTTCTAAGTCCTTACCCTCTGTACCCACCCAATGTACATCATTTAGCCAGTTTATAGATAATAATACTTTACATAAAAGAACAAATTGTTTTGGAATCCCTTCAATCACTTTAGCAATGGATGCCTTGATCAAAAAATTCCTGCAACTCACTATGGGCCCAAAGATCTCATCAACTCCACAGAACTCCAGGCTCAGACCCAGCTCACAAATAAGGACATTGCATTTTTTTTAAATGGCTTCTTTAATCCAGGCTGCTGTTCCCCTTCCTGACTGAAACTGAATGCAGGCAAAATGGAGTTGGCAGGGGAGTTGTGTGTGGCTGGACGTAGAGGCATGCCCCGAAGCCAGATGTAGCCTTGTGTCTCCCGCTGCTCTTGTATTCAACACAAGGAACCCAGACCCCAGGATAAAGGACTGTCACCAGGAGAGCTCTCCTGGCTCATTCAACCAAGTTCTGGTGGTTTCCTCCAGCAGGGAATTACCCACAGGCCCAGGCACAAGGTCTGAGACCTGGGCTCTGCTTCCTTATGTTGATGTAACATGGTCTTGGCAGGGCCCTACCGCACATGGGGCACTTGACATGCGTATGTTTTGATTTTGTGGTGCCTGCATGGAAACTAGAGCTGCCTGTCAAGAAAATTAATAAAATGGATGTGACGCTGATTCTTCAGTGTTATTACCAGCAGAGAGAAAGAACTTCTGTCCAACTTTCCTCAAGACCCTGAAGGGCCTCACCTCTGGAGCCAAGGACGTCCCCTCCAGCCCAGCTAATACCACTGCCAAGTTCCTATTTAGGAAGAGCCTGTGGGAGAGGCCCGGCTGGGCCCCGGAGTAACTGAAAACACATTTCCCTCCTAGGGTTATGTTACCGTGTTATTTCTGCCCCGGGCCAACTCCTCTGTGTTTAGAGGTAGCTCCCTGAACGTGGCCTCTTGACATTCAGGTGGTCTTTGTGTTGGAATTTCCTAAGGCACATGACCTGGAAATAACAAGGTTTACCTTCATATACTTTTTTTTTTATTTAAAAGAAGGACAGTGTTAAGCATGTGTTCCCATTCTGTCATCATAGTGTACTTACCCTCCAAACCCCCAGTCATTGTCTCTTTGAGGTCATAATAAACACCATGGTGATGTTCTCCTCGGCATGTTTTATATATTATCTCTCATTCCAGAGGTCACAAAGCCTTCACTTATTTTTATTTGGTGGTGGGAAGATTGAAGAGAGAATCTATAAATGGCTGAGTGTTTACAGAAATGTGCTTCCTTCCCCAATGTCCCCCATGTCCTATAGCAGAGAATTCATTAGCACTTCCACAGAGACAGGCAGGCCTTGAGGATGGAGAGAGGTGGGACAAGGCTTTGGCTCATTTGATCCTTTAAGAACACTTAGCGTTTCTGGAAGCCAGAGGTGGAGTGTGAGCTCAGCCTGTCCCTTGCCCTGGGCATGTACAGTGTCTGTTTCTTGGTTCTGCAGAATGCGTTTTACTCTGCCCCAGCTGAGCAGAGAGGAAAGAGGAATAAGACTGAAATTATGATATATCAGAGGCAGAATCACAGTGGCTGCCCACTGGGCTTTTCACGTCCATGAGACCAAAAGCCAAGGCTGGAAGTAAGGACAACAAAGTTCAACAAAAGAGAGACGGGGTACTGGTATGCAGAGGTTATAAAAGACACCCAGCCCAGAGGTACCAGGAAATTATGGGGAACACTTGTTTATACCCCCGAACACTGTTGCTTGCAAAGTTCCTTCCCCTGGGGCCTCATTGTCCCTGAAAGCCCAGCCCCCATTTTGGATATGTCATCTCATAATTGATCTAAGCTTTTGAGGAGTCTATATTTTTAGCCCACATCCTTGGGGGTAATGCATTCAAGTGCACTAACTACTGTTAAACACTTTTTCTGGTTATTTGTATTTAATTTGCTCCATTTAACCTTCAAGGCATGCCCTCTACAGTTTCTGGTGTGCTGGGGTTTATTTAACAAATTCGTGCTAACCTTATAGCCAATACTTTCACACAAAAAAAGCACAGGTTGGGCAGTCAAGGGTCCTCTGATCCAGCAGCCTGTTAATGAGAGGCTAAGCATTTTTGCCAGCAGCACCCAGATTTTGCCGAGTTCCTTTAAGGAGTGAACGTGATCATCTGGTTACATCTACATGTTAACCAGGTGATCCCCTACCACCGACCTATCAGGTTCAAGTGAGAATCTTCCTAAAGTCTTCTGTCAAGGCCAAGACCATGAACCTATTTAGCCTATCTGCCATTGCCTCATAACTGACCACACTTACCCTCTACTTGGCTTCTTCCCTTGGATGTATTTTAAGATCCATTGATTTTTTTTTTTTCTTTTTCTTTTGGTTTTAAAGTTCTAGCATGTAATACTTAAGTTTCTCTTCAGCATATGTGGTTTCAAGTTGGGGCTTGACCTGCCATCTCTGTGAATTGTGCTGTTATTCTTACTAGGATTAGCTGTCCTTGGACATGATAAATTGTGTGGTGGGTGTTGTGTATAATTTAGAGAGTGATTAACTCTTAACATTTCTTTTCAGTCTACACTGAATCTTCAAATTTAGCACATTTAAATCATTCTCGGGATTGCCAACTATTTTAACTCTGCTAAGCTACCATTTATGCACATGCACACACACAGACACATCCTGGAACATGGCATGCACTCCATAATTATTTCTTGGTTGAATGAATCAATTATGAAATCGGAGAAAGTATGTGATGTCCTTCTTGTATTTCTTCCCCCTGTTTTACAAGATTTGGGATTTGTGGGTGAAATGTTACTTAACATTGATCACAACATGGTCTCCTCTATCACATTTTCTGTTTCTGAGTGAGGAAGCCATAGGATAATCAGGTCCACATTATTCAAACTATATCCTGGCTGAGGTGGACTTTGCTGGACATGAAAAACATTTAGTCATTATTGATATTACTATATTAAGATAAACACTCAGCAATTCATAGTCTTGGTGCTACTTGCAGCCAAAAGAATCATTTTAGTACCTTTATTTTGGGTTATGTTGAGGCACAGGTGTGTTTCTTATATGCATGTGTGAATACATTATGGTTTAGGAGCTGGAACTATAAATCAAGACTCTAATAATAGCTGAACCATAGTGAGTTCTGTGTGCTCACTCCTAGGCCAATTGCTTTATATACATCAGACATTTACTTCTCACAGTGACCAAACCTAAAACTGGCACTATTATCACTGCCACTTTCCAGTGGCAGACACTGTGGGTTATGAGAAGTTCAGCAGCCTGTATGAAGGCAGAAAGCTTAGAATTGACAAATTCATGTGTCAGACCAAGCAAACTGGTTCCAGGTACTTGGGTACACAAAGAGGAAATACAGTAAATGGTAAGGGGACCTTCGCTAGTGCCAGCATCTTAGCTTTCTGTAGTTTATGGAAACGGTTGCTTTGGTAGAGATTCCCTGGGTACCTCCTGTATTCCAGACAGGGTGCTAATCTCACTGTCCTCTTCATGGCTAGGAGGCACTCCTAAGCTTCAGGAAGCTTCTGTTATGACTGGGATGTGTGGGCCCACATTTGCAAGCCCCATTCTCTGGGGCTTGTTGGCCTTTCTCTCTGGTCAGCTCTATAAGGGCAGAAGTCACTGCATCAAGACATGTGAACCTGGGCTGGGATGAGTCAGGCTGGGGAGATGCCCCAGGTTTTCCAGAAAGAAGTGACGTCACTCACTGCTGTATTCAGAGGGTAAAACTAATTGGCTTCAGTCAGTGCTTTCTGGAGAAAACAAACAGTTCTTATTGGCTGGTGGGTACAAACTCTGCAGCATGGAGGTGTTCACCCAGGTGATGGGCTCAACCCTATGTGGACGGGAGAGAGGTGGGTGACAGGATCTCTGAAAGGGGGCCATGGCTGCAATTGATAAGGCTGAGGTCAAGGTCACTTTCTACTTCCAGGAGGGGATGCTAGTGGTGTCAGAGTAGAGGGTTTTTCTGCAAAGTAAATCCACGTAGTGTAAGTTAGATAGTGAGAGGCAGACTGTTGCCTATTTCATATCCATGGGTGTCATCTTAAGCACAAAGGGTGTCATGACAGTAGACTTCTATGGTTACCCTCACCAGTGGAGAGAGCAGCCCCCAGTACAAATAACTCACATGTTTGTTCTCATAAATCCTAGATATATAGAGGATTCCACTTTTTAATGTTTATTTATTTGTTTTTGAGAGAGATAGAGAGGAAAGACAGAGAGAGAGAGAGGGAGAGAGACAGTCCCAAGAAGGCTCAGTGCTGTTAGCATAGAGCTCCATGCAGGACTCAAGCCCACGAACTGTGAGATCATGACCAGAGCCTAAATCAAGAGTCAGATGCTTTACTGACTGAACCACCTAGGTACCTCAAGGATTCCCAAATTGATTTCTCCATCCAGAACCTCTCCCTGAACCCAATATCATCTATCTAACTGACACTCAGTGT